GCCCTGGTGGAATGAGCTGTCAAATGTTCTGGAGGGAGTTTCCCCGACAAGCTGTAAGCAAGGGAGATAGTCTGCACAATCCAACGGTGCTATGGATTGAGAGAAGGCTGGGGCCCCTTTGTTTGGGCCGTGAAAGCAGAGAAAAAGTTTGTTGGATTTTCTAAAGGTTTTTGTCCTTTCGACGTAGAAAGCCAGGGCACGTCTGACATCGAGATTATGGAGCATATGTTCTAGGGGTGATGAAGGAGACTTGAAGAAGCAGGGTGGTATGATGGGTTGGTTGAGGTGGAAATCGGAGACCACCTTCGGGGAAAAAAACATCAAAGTAAAGAGTCACTTTATCAGGGTGAAACTGGATAAAGGGAGGGTCGGCTCGAAGAGCGCCAAGCTCACTAGCTCGTTTGGCTCATGTGATTGCAACAAGGAAGGCCGATTTCAGGGTCAGGAATTTGAGATCGATGGAAGCTATGGGCTCAAACGGAAGCCGCATGAAAGCGTTAAGAACGAGCTGCAGTGACAACTGAGGGGTGATACGTTGTTGAGGAGGGCAAATATTGTTGAGCCCTTTAAGGAACTTCTTGACAGTTGGGTGAGAAAACAACTTGGAGGAGGGAGAATCATCCGGATGGTGAGCCATAATGGCTGGAAGGTAGACCTTCAACGTAGACTGGGAAAGGCTGAAACTGAAGAGATGCAAGAGATAGGCGAGCAGAGTCTTCAGAGAAAAAGGTATAGCAGGTAAGTTATCGCCATGAGTATATTTCAGGAAAGACTTCCATTTGTTTTCGTATAGGAGAGTAGTGGAAGGTTTACAAGCTTGAAGGAGAAACTGCATCATGTCGGGAGTATCCTCCATGCCGCAAGACTGAGAGAGGCGATGTCTGGGTGAAGAACGAGGCCATGGTCGAGTGAGAGGAGATCTGGGCGGAGAGGAAGGCGGAGCATATCCGATGACATCGAGACCAGGTGAGTGAACCATGGTTGGCGGGGCCAATATGGGGCCATCAGAATTGCGTTGGCCCCTTCCTGTCGGAGACAGACGATTACCCTCTGGAGTAGAGGCAGAGGGGGAAATACATAAAGGAGATCTTGGGACCAGTCCATCAGGAATGCGTCTCCCAGAGAGTTGCTGTCCCGTCCTGCCCTGGAGCAGAACCGGGGACATTTCTTGTTGGCATCGGCTGCAAAGAGGTCTATTGAGGGCGTGCCCCATCATCGGCACAGCCGCTGGAATATGACCTCGTTCAGAGTCCATTCGTGCGTTCTCGTCGGTAGTTGACTGAGCTGATCTGCCAAGCTGTTGTCGTCAGTGGAAATGTGGACGGCAATAGGGAAAACATGATGGGAATAGCACCACTCCCAGAGGTCGACAGCTAGGTATAGCAGAGAAGGGGAGTGGGCACCTCCTTGCTTGTTGACATAAAAGAGTGCAGTGGTGTTGTCTGTTGCCAACTGCACTACTTGTCCTCGGATGAGGGGAAGAAAGGCGTGGAACGCTTTGATGATTGCCAACAGTTCTAGATGGTTTATGTGAAGTGACAGTTCTTGTTTTGACCAGAATCCGTGGACTGTGTGCTGAAGGCAGTGGGCGTCCCACCCCGTGGGGCTGGCTTCGGTTGTGACCTGTATGGAAGGTCTGAGAGGCGAGAAAGGCCTGTCGATGAGAAGGTTGTCTGGGCGAGTCCACCAGTCAAGCTGGGAGGCTAGTTCTGGTGTCACCCGCAACAGAGCAGATGGAGGGTGTGTAAGCGGATTGAATAGGGAAAGGAACCATGCCTGCATGGATCTCATCTTGAGCCTGGTGTGCTGGATGACGGCCGTCGTTGATGCCATGAGTCCCAGGAGGTGTTGGGTGTGATGTGCCGAAACGGAGTGATGTGTTTGAAAGAGGCGGACAGCTTTTTGGATTTTCCTGATCCTGTC